CTTATCTTATGTTTAGGTTGTATATTCTGAAGGCGTGTGTACACTTTTATCTGGAGATGTGATATGCTTGTCAGATGGACAATTTCTTAACTGTTTAAGAACTAAGTGGCCATATGTTATTATTGACTGGAAAACTGAACCTAAGCCATCTCTTAACTGAGATGTTTATGAATGAGGGCACTTCTTCATTTTTGTTTTATGATATAAGGAAGTTTAATGTTATACGAAGAGCTTAATGTTGTCAGCATATACAGTATTTTATTGTCACGCATGCATGTCTTTACTCACTGTTGTGGTTGTAAATGAATGGGGTACTTGAATGTTGAATACGGATTACGGCGGCAATATCATTCACAAGAGTATGACCACTTTCTTGGGCAGCATAACGTACGTCGTCCCCTCGAGTGTATAAAAAGCCCATCTACACGGTACGCTCAGTCATATACTGTACGATTGTCATTCTGGCATATGAAAACCACTGCTGACGCCACTATTCTGGCTCGTCAGTTCATGGTCAACTCTCTTTACACATTTTTATTCGAGTACATGCGCCAGGATAAGAATCGTATACGACTAGACGTATCGTATAGATTGGGCCTTAAAAAGCCCATTTACACTAATCGTGTACGATTCTTATCCTGGCATAATTATGTTTAACAATTAGCTATTTCCCAATTGAGCAGAGGACTGGGCCTAGTTGATGTTTGGAGGGACAACAAACCATTGTTATGGTTTTGTTTTTTTAAACTTAAAGCGATTCAAATAATTAACAATTATTGGATGAGGTTTTTGTAATATGAGGAATTATCAAGGTCGAGGTATATAAGCGTTATCTGCCGAGTCGAAGGCGAGGCTGATAACGCTTACCGAGCGACCTTGATAATTTTGCATATCGCAAAAACCGAATTCAATAATTGTTTTATACATTTGTTTATGTTAAATAGATACCGCTTGCTAATCATTGCAGGCTCATTTGCAGATAACTCAGTTATCTGCTAGCAGATCTAGCAGATAACTGAATTTTCTGTTGGTTGCGTGATTGCGCTATTCTCACTGGGAGTTTTCTCTCACAATACCACATACTTTGAATATTTATGCATGAGATCAGTTAGTCATCCATATACACCACGTGATTGTCAGACAGTATAAAAGTAGCACAGGGTAGTCGGTATCTTTTGAACGTTTGCGGATTTGCCACCGAAAAGGAAGGACGGCGCTGAATTTTTTTGGTCATCCAAGTCACACGTGTCGCAGCCGAGAAATTTGACGAAATTCAGCCTTGGGAATTTGACGAAATGCCTTGCTTACACAGAAGCACGATAACGCTCACCAAACAATTTGACTTGTCATGGTATGTCGAGCATGATGTGAATTAATCGTCCTCCTCAACCGGCTGTACTTGGAATCAGGTATCGGTTTGTTGTCTACCGAATTTAAGTGGATCTTCCCCGCGAGTTTCGAGCTTATTTTTTTGCTATATTTTCTCACTGTTACATTCGTTTGGAGTCTTTCTGTATGCATATAGTCGTTTTTTCATGGTCATTAGGTTTGTTCGTTCATGCATGTCTGTTTTGTTTGCCTCTACATTTACTGCCAGGGTATATCTTTTTAAGGTTTTCAACATTCCCGAATATTGTAACTGGCGTGGGTTGTATTTACTCGTTCTTCGTTTTTGCAACACGCCGTTATATCACGGCCACTTCGAGTTGTTTAACCGTCGTTCCGGTGGTTTTTTGGCTGGTAATCTTTTTCAGATACCGCCTCATTTGTCAACTCTGTTGTTAATCGCGTTTTCCTAATGTGCGGTCTGGCGAGGTGGGTACACTAATCAAAACCCTACACATGTCTACGACGTGTGTTCGTGTTCAGGCGCCTGCTGGAAGCGTATAATTCTCAGAATTTGACTGCTTTCATAAGCCTATAATGCACTAGTCAATTGAAACCCCGGCCCCCCGACCCCCGGGAAAGAGCGGGGAAATTAACATTTTGACAATGTTAAACTTTGGTAATTTCCCCGCCACCGGGGGAATATTGACTGTTAAAGTTACCGCCCCTATGGCCCGGCACTTTGCAAATTTTCATGACTTGGGAAATGGGAAATCGTTGAAGTATAAAGGGTGAAGTAGAAAGTGTGAAGCAAATGAATTCTTGATCTTAAACTTTGATCCGCATCAAAAGATACTGAATAAGTCTACGTTTCGACTATTTTGCAGTCATCATCAGGAAAGTGAAAATATATTCCTTTTTTTTTAAGAAAAACTATGAGGAAACAATGATAAAACGGACAAAAGTTTATAAAATATCTTCTCTGACTTCGAAGATTCCGCCATGTTGCCACGAAGATAAACACGTTCCAGTCCACTTTCGTATCAGCCACGCGTTAAAGTCCCGGCTATTGTCCCGCCTAATAAATTGACTTGTTATTTCCCCTGTACCCCGGGGGAAATGGTGCATTAAACCCGCGTTAATCCACGGCCATTCCCCCGTTAATTCCCCGCACAGTCCCGGGGGTCGGGGGGCCGGGGTTTTAATTGACTAGTGCATAAGCGTTTTACATTTTCTACTGCCATCGTAATGTTTGTTTGCACATATATTTATACTGCCCGGGTATCTTTTAAGGCTTTCAACATTCCCTAATATATATCTATACATGCATATAATAAATATATTCTATAAGCGTTTTTTCCTCCTTTTTGACTGCCAGAGTGCATTCCATGCACGTTTTATGGAAGATCTTCGGCGTGAGGTTTGAATTGTTGGCGCACAATCACATCGAGGTTGGCGCACAAATTTTGAGTTTTGGTGGTTGGCGCAGCATCAAATGTTTAAGCGAGACTTTGAGTATTAATAATCGCCTGGTGATTGGATTGGCCTCTATAATACTTTAGGGACTCGAGAAATTTGTGTTCCTGGTCAGTGTATTAAATATTACTAATGGTGGTTATAACTTGTGATACAACAGAACAGTAACAACACTCATCATTGCTCATCAGCAAAACATCTTATTCATCAATTACATGCCTTTTTAGCAAGTTTTAATTTTTAAAAAAACTAACTATTAATGAAAAATCACGGTGCCCACGATCAGCCGCCGCACAAGTTGACCTCACTTGGCGCACGACAACACTACCTCAGATTATCTTCGGCGTGAAGTTTACACGGAATGCACCCAGCTGGTTTGACTGCCATCGCCATGCCGTTTGTGTTATTGTTTTGGGGCAGGCAATTTTTCTACTTTGTCTTTGGACTATTGCTTTTGGATTTTAACTATATTGCTTTTGGTGAAGCAATATTGTGCTACCGTATATTGCATGTTTTTGGTATGGACAATGCGGTGGGATTTTTTGCTTTTGGTGAAGCAATTCACCTTAATATGTTGCTTTTGGTGAAGCGAATACCTTAATTTGACTTGTTGCTTTTGGTGAAGCGCAATGTCCTTAATTTGTTGCTTTTGGTGTAGCGAATACCTTAATTTGACTTTTTGCTTTTGGTGAAGCGAAAGTTTTATTTGTTTGCTTTTGGTGAAGCGCCTACATTAAGTTTAGCCATTTGGCTTTTGGCGAAGCCTATGAACTTTTGTCCTTTGTTTTTGTCGTGCGCGTATGTTTGAGCTATTTGCCTTTGGTGAAGCTACTACATTTAATCTCTTGCGAGCTTTGGTTAAGCAAGTTGCATTTTTCGCTTTTGTAAAACAAAGTTCTTTAGTTTGGCACTTATTATTATTTTTTGTGAGGTCCATATCTTTTGCCCTATATTTGCGTGGCGTGAAATATGTGCAGTGTGCATCCGGGCGAGTGCCACTGTGGCCATTTCAAGTTAAAATTCACGATAATCAAGTGATTTGTTTGTTACCACTGCTTTGAGTTAATTTACGCGACGCACACATGTCTTATTTACAAACGAGATCACTTCTAATTTTATTTTTAATACTGTTTATATTGTCCTAGCTGTTTCACTGAGTTGTTCGTACATGTCCCATAAGTAGCAAGTTTTTTTGTTTTTGCGGGTCGCTAAATTGTTCGCAGCAATTATAGCTTGTCCATTGTATTCAATGGATTACCATGCGGTGTTATGTTGGATTTGCATTTGACTGTACAATTTGTTTTGTTCTATTGAAACACTGTATCATTGTTTTTCTTCTTATTACTCTTGGTGGAGCGATTACGTTCGCTTTAACTCTGTTTACGTATTGCTTTCATTTGCGTGACGCGAACAACGGTAGGCCTATGTGCTTTTAGTTGAGCTTTTGTCTTGTGTTATCTTCGCATCAGCTGTTTTCAGTTAGGCATTATTTGTAGGCCAATACAATTGCGAATCGTGGTTTTATAGCGATAATAGCGCCGCTCTACATTATGTACTGTTGTAGCCTATGTTGGGTTTGTGACGTAACTATACACGGTTTCGTACTCTGTATTTCGCACCCCATTGTTTTGCTGCACCTCGCTGTTTGTTTTATGGTGAAGCTTAGGCAACACTTTATAGAGCGGCTTTTATGCATGGTTAAGTTGGTTTGGTATTATTTTGTTTGTCCAGTTCTGCTCGTTATTTTTATTTAGTTATAAGCGGTGTTATAAGCAGGGGCGTAGGAACCGCCCCCCCCCCCCCCCCCC